TTTACTCTAAGCACTTGGCCATAAAAACGAAACTAATGGCCATAACTCACTTAGGCATAAGCTCCCAGCGGGAATGGAAAACGAGAGCAACAGGATGGGTGTTCACTGTACGGCGCACTCTCATTACAAAGTGCGTGACCTATCCCAACAATGACTGCAAAGTGCTTTCCTCAGCGGGAAAGGCTATCAATTTGATGACAGAAACAAAGTCGAAGAACTTGAACTCAAGAGATGATTCATCAGTGCATAATTATGTGTATAGAAACAGGAGAAATAAATAAAAATAATAATCGAAAACGGCTATCTATCAGTCAAATGATTTTAAAATAGCAATACTCACACACTTGCAGAACTTTTTACACAGACAAACACACACACATATGCACAGCAGGAATGCAATGGGAAAATAAACAGGAAAAAGGTGGTCGACCTCGGAAGGGGAAAAAAAAAAACGTTGCAACATTTATCAGAGCAGGAAATTCGCATACAAAATGGATTATAAAAATATAACAAAATACAGATATATATAAAAGGTATGCTCATTAAATATTTTCAAGTATAATTGCAATAAATTTTGAAATGAAAGTTTATAAAAACAATGCAAAACAATGAGCAGGGAGAGAAAAAAAAAGGATATACCCAGAGAGCGGTTAGAAAGCAAAACAAAGGGAGAGAAGGCGAAAAGAGAGCAAAGAGAATGCAGAGTGAAGGCAGAGAAAAGGCACAGAAAAGGATAAAGCGAGAAGTGCAGAGAAATAGAGAAGGAGAGAGGGAGAGAGCCGCCCAATGGCAGGCAATACTTTTCGCAGCCGTCAACGCTGCGTATGCGTAATGTGAGCGAACAGTCAACCGAAAGTGGAATGGCGGAAAATTAAAGTTTGCTGCACGCCCCTGTCTGCCGCCCCTATATTTTTACACCCCCCTTTTTTTGGGCGGCGCTGCGAGGGTTTCCCAACCCCCTTTGTCCCCCTTTTTTCGACAGCTCCAACGACTTCCTGACGTGCAGGCGAGCGCAATTTATGGCGTGGCAATGCGTATGGCTGAGGCAAAAGGGGGCTTAAAATGAAAAGGGGGTCCCATAAGGAAACACCCTGTTAATAAAACAGGGGTGCCCATTCAGAGGGTTTCACAGGGTGTTGCCTGTAATATGAACATAAATATTCATCATTAAATGACTTCTTTTTGTGTGGAGTCCCCAAAAAATATATACATTTTGTATATTATTTTAAAAAAAGACAAATTTACCATTTCTATTTAGTTTCTTAAAAAAAAGGGATACATTTTTCATAAAAAAAAAAACTTTTCGAGCTATCATGATTCTAAAACCTTATAAACAGGGGGTTTATTAAATTTATAAATTTAAATCTTATCCTTTGAGTATCTTTTATTAAAAAGTAAATAAGGCATATGTAGGGATCACCATGTTTTCACAGACATACCTAAATTGAAATGTAAATGTATGTTTTGGTATGTAGAAAACGGGGAAAAAGTGGGCGGCAGAAGTTCAACCGTGTTTAATTTGCCTTCTTCACTTTTCCTCTCTTTTTAGCCCTAATGCACTCGCATGTTGCATTTACACAAAAATTTCCTTTTTGTATTTTTTCCTTTTTGGAACAAAAATATTTTTGTTTCGCTTTTGTGGGTTCTGTTCGTCGGCGAAACGAAGGAAAATACAAGAGCCGAAATGTTTTCCTTTTGTTTTTTTTTTGCCGCTGCTAGTTCATTTGGTTTGTTATTTGTTTTCTGATTTTGCGGGTGACGCTGACGAAGCGTTTTCCCCCTCTAGCCGAATTTTCTTTTATTTTTGTTGCTTTTGCTCAGTCAATTTAAATTGCATTTATTCAAATTTCTATGATGACAAGGCTTGCGGTTTGAAAAGAATGCAATGACTTTGAAGGGGAACTCTAAGCGGTGGTTTTTATGGGTAAATTGAAAAGGAATTTTGGCAGATCTGGAAATCGCTTTTGAAACTATTATAAATGTAAGACTGTCATTTTAAAACATTAAAAGTAGTTTTTAGATGAAATAACAGCTTAGCTTCAAGTGTTTGCCACTTCATCGTTTTATGAAACCTCGATTATAACTTTGGAGATAAGAAAAATGCTGTAGAAACTGGTTTACGTCTATAAAAATGTGACTTATTGGGGCTTTTAGTATTTGTAGCGATTAAAAAACATATTTTTACCAGCTCAAACAAACATTAAATACTTTTAAGCTGACTTTCCATAACCAGATCTCCTCGAATTTAACTGTGGAAATATGGAAATTCTATTATGAACCGGTTTGGGTCTATCAAAATATGACTAATTGTGTAATAAATATTTGGAACGCCTAAAAAACATACTAATGACTAAGAAACTTTCGATTATTTTTAGTTTTGATAAACAGCTGAAAATATTTAAAAGCTAAATAATTTAGAGACTAACTTTGGAGGTACGAAATTTATTTTAAAAGACTATCAAGATTGAAGATTAGCTTTTAATATTACAATTTTATGGGAACCTTTGTAAAATTAAAAGTGTAAACTTTTCTAATAACATATGTCGTTCAAAAATTAACAATTATTTAGTTTAGAAGATAACACTTTTTTAATAATAAAAATACAATTTTAAACACTTTTGCAACTAGTAAAGTTACTTTTTCAAAATGAAGATAACACTTTAAACCCTTTTGCCGTATTTTTTACTCCCATTTTCCAAAACTTTGTAGCTAATGGCATTCATAAGCAATTTCTATTTCAATGGACACTTGATTTTCAGATCTAGACATTCCAATATGCGACTGATTAATAACTGCAGTGTTTTATGGGCGGTAGTAGTTTACGATTACTTCCTCGTCGGCGTTTGTTTACCCTCGATTGGGGGATTTGTGAATTGTGGTATTGGGGAACCCAGAAACCTGAGAGAACCGGCGTATCACCCATGTGACTCCCAAAATAAAAGCACAAAAAGCGAAAGGGAGCGAAGAGGGGAGTCGAAATATTTAACTGCAATTACTTTTGCGTACTGTTATTAACCACTAACACTATTATTATGCATTATGTTATGTACACGGGGGTAAATTACGTATTATTTATAAAGCACTTAATTCGCATAGTGCTGCAGTAATATCTAATAATTTCCTATACCGATTAGCTTGAGTTTTCGGCACGTTTTTTGGTGTTATTGTTTTATTGTTTTATTATTTTATAATTTAATTTTTTTACGGACGCGACGAGAACGCGTTATAATGTTAACTGGATGAGAACTGAATTTCCAATCAGAAATGCTAACACACAATCGTTGTATCTTAACAGGTTTGAGAGAGAGAAAGAGAGAGCAAAAGCGTACAGAGCAAGAGAGCGGATTGGAATCGGGTTTCCTATAAAAATGCCCCACAAAAAAAAGAGAGAGCAACGAAGAGAGGAGATGAAAAACGGGGGAGCTTGCTCTTAGCACCGAAATATAAAATAAACAAAAGCGCAAAACGTGCGCAGACTGTGCGAAAGAGAGGGCAGGAGAGATATAACCGTATGCCGGTTGCAGCTTCTCAATGGGTGCGAATGAAAGGGGTGGATCCGGCCAGAAAGAGAGGACCCCATCCAAATGCAAACGGCAATAAAAAGCTCCAAAGTTAAATCAACTAGGCAGTACCATGAAAATTTAATAGTCATCAAAAAAATAAAGCAAACTGGACGATAAGTGTACGTAGCTGTGCTAATTATCAGAAGAATATAAAGATGGAGATGAAAACGCAATGCCGAAAACTCTGAAGATTCTGTGGTATGTTAAATGTTATGGCAAGATGCCTGGCATCCCCAAATTTTTCAGCCACAGTCTTACATTCCTAAAACAAACCAACTGCTTTAAAAATATATATACTTAAAAATAAACTATGTTTTAAAATGCTATTCTCTGTTTCTTAAGAATTAAGACTTTTAAACCTTTTAAACTTATAAAGAAATCGAATAATATATTTTCAATCATAAAAATATAGTTTACAAACAAAATTTGTTTCACGGAATTTTATTTATGAAGTTATTTTTGCAACATTTTATGAAAATTGGAAGAATTACACTTTTTTTTTAAATCAAAGAAGTTTCACAGTTGAAGTTATACTGTTTCTTGTCTGAGAAACGCATTTAGTTACTTTAACATGCGATAGACTTTTAGCAAACTGCCGCAAGTGCTCGAAAAAGATTTGAAAACTGAAAAAGCAAACATGTACCCAGACGTAGGAGTATTTGCATAAATTTAAGTGTAAACGTGTGTGCGTGGGTGACCCTTAACTAGGCGTTAACTGAGCTTAAATGGACTTTAAGTGTCTCTAATTTATGGCTTACGTTGATGACGAAAATAAGAGGAGGAAACACTTGAAAAAATATGGTTAATATTTTTGACCCAGCTATAATTTAAGACTGAATATTAAAATGTTTTGCAGTTATTTTAAAGATTATTTACTCCTGAATAATTGTGAGATTAAATTTGTATAAATACAACATTATATTGCATACTTTTTGTTTGCATTTTATGTAAACAACATGTAGAACGCATGTCAAACAAAAATAAATATTTATTTATTCACAAAAACTAGGGTGTACAGTTTTAAAGTTTAATATATTAAAATAATAATGTTGTGTATTTATAGTTTTATTAATTTCAATATCAACCAGATCACTCTAAAATATATTAATTACTCTCTATCATTTGAAATATTATTAGAATTATTTTTCTAATATTTTATTAATATTTCTCTTTTTTTAAATATCATGAGAAAATATATATTCCTGGGGGCATCTCTTGAGACTTTTGTAAGACCACTTCAAATATATTTTATGTATTTATGTGGGTTCTTTTGAGAAATATCACATGAGAAACTAAAGATTTCTGGGACGTCTCTTCAGATCTCTTGAGATATTTACCTCATAAAATCACCCGAAATTACTCCAAGAAATAACTTTTTTCATTTATTTAATATTAAGAATCTTTTTAATAATTTTACTAATTTTTGTAGAAACTCACCGTTATTGTTGCTGATGGCGAATCGCTGCTGCAGCTGCTGGGCCAACGCCTGGTGGTGCTGGGCGAGTGGTGTTAGTGGCGGCGGTGGCTGACCCACGCCCAGTTGTTGTGGCGCCGACTGGGAGTGGGGGACTCCACCGCTTAGCGACGAGGTGTCCGAGGAGCCATCGCCGCCGCCACCCACTACGCCGACGCCGACGCCAACCACAAGGCCATTGGCCATGGAATTCTGCGGATTTTGTCCGTTATTGAACTGCTGCACCGAGATCGAGTTGGGAAGTCCCTGGTTCTGGTTCTGATTCTGATTCTGATTCGCGGCGGAGATGAGCGGATTGCCGGCGGTGCCGTAGGTGGTGGCATTTATGGAATTGTTGGCCTGGCTCATGGAATTGTTGTGGACGGCTGAGTTGAGCAGGGATCCATTGGCGGTGGCTCCACTGTTGCTGCTGTTGTAATACGACTCCTCGCCTGCAAATCAATGACCAGTTTTAATTGAGTCTTTAGAAATGGCTGCTAGACTATTCTTTATTTAGTTTGTAAAAAAAAAGTTACTAGGTATTATTAGAATGGAATGTTTCAAACTCACAACAGACTTCAGTTGTGTTTGCTTTTATTTATTCTCAGTGACAAAAAGTAGTTGCATTTTTAAAAAAAAGGTTTGATTTGATTTCTTTGCATTTATTTTTCGAATTCTAAAAACAACCATGTAAAATACCTTAATAGTATTAATAATTAAAATAAAAAATCTTGAAAAGTAAAATAGTAAAACATTTAATGATTGAATATAAATATCACATAAATAATAATAAATGCAAACATGCAATAACGGAGATCTTTAAAACTAAAAAACCAGTTTTAACATTTTAATTAAAGAATGGCCAAAAATGATTGTTTCAAGAACTATCTCAGCTTTAGGTTAATAACCCTGCAAAAAAATTTAATAAAATTCTAGGAAATCGGCAAATAAAAAATTCCAGGAAATACTTTACAGAACGCCGGTCAAAATAACAATCCATTCATAAAAGCTTTCTTTTAGTTGCGTTCACAAACAGCTTTCATTCGGGGAATGACTTTCTCTGGGTGGCGCCATCTGTGGTGGAGTGGCTTCGTAAAACTGCTTGCTTTGCCTGCCGCAAGCAGTTCAAAGTTGAGGTAGGTTCGGAATTCTCGCTATAAAAAGATACCCCCTCCCTTCTTTATTAAAACCCCCTTTTCACAATCTCATTTGAATGCATTTCGCGTTTTTAGTGAGGAAAGGCTTCTACTTTTCTTGTTTCCCCTTGGATTCCATGGGCATGGACAATTAGTCGCCACTGATTAATTGGCATTTAGCGGAAAAGTCGCGACTCGGCGACGATGGACACTCGTAAAGTCTGTTGACAAGGCGCCTCCTTGAGATGCCACACCTCCAATGTCCACTTTTGTCTCTGCTTCGCCTTTTACACTGAGAAAAATAACACTCTTTATGGGAATCAAAAATTCTTTAAGGCTTGATAAATTAACTAAGGCACGAGTTATTATCTATTGTGCATAAAATATTTGCGCTATTTTTGAATATATTTCATATTTTAAATAAAATTGATAGTTTATGTTTCTTAAGGATTGATACATCAAAGTCAAAACGCGAGTTCTTCAGCACAAAGCATGAAACCTTTGATATATTTTTGAATGTATGGTATATTTCAAACTTGATAGATTCTTATTCCTTGAGGATTGATAAACCAACATTAAAACGCGAGTTCTTAAGCATATTATAAGAATTCGGTTCTATATTTTCTTCTTCTATTTTTCTGATTTTTGCCTCTGTAGCCCCCATTAGCTTTTCTGTTTCACCACAACCCGGCCAATTGACGAGATGTCTTTCTGCCTGTCACCACTACGCAACTACGCAACTCAAGCGGAAGGAAGGAAGACGCTTCTTCTTTGGCTGGCAAACAATTTAGCAGAGTGCTAACCTGTCTAGTTAGGCAGATTGAGGAGCCGAGAGGGGTTTCGAAGGGGCATATCACACCATAAGCCATGGCTATTTCGTGCGTGGCTTATGGCCAATTTCCGTTATGCTTGCGCTGGCTTTTGTTGCTCTTCTTCTGGTTGAGCCGTAAGCAAAACTTGCCAACAATTGGCAGCCAACAAAAAGTTTTGTTGCACATGGCGAATTAAACGAAGAAGAAATATCAACAAAATACATATAGTTGTGGGAATAATCAGCAAGTTAATTTGTGCGCTTGGCACGCATTAAGAAATTCAACAAATGTATATGTTGATATTTAAGCGGGAGTTTGCTTTGTAATTGGCGGATTTACATTTATTTTCTTTTATAAAATTAATGTTATTTTCCTGATTTTGCTTAAAACTAAGGAAAGCTATAATAATCTAATACTTTAGCTGTATTTCCTGTTTTTTTTTTAAATTAAAGGCATACGTAGAAATGTTAATATTACTCACCTGGTTCTGGAATATTGCCCAGGGGACTCTCTGGCATTAGAATCCCCTTTTGCACTAGCTCATCACGATTGGCACGCACAGATATCTTACGCTCCAGCGCTGTTATTCAATTGAAATAAACATTTTAGAACATTTAAAATTAATAAGTATTTCACAAACTTACATTTGGAGGCCGCCTCGAACTTCTCGCTCTTCTTTTTCCGCCTCCACTTCCAGGGCTTAAAGAATCTGCCCAGCGCACTAAGTTTGCTTTTCCTTTCCAAGGGCGGTGTTCTAGTGCCCGATCCCAAACTATTTGTGCGTATGGCAGCTCCATTCTGTTTCTTAGCTGCAAAATAAGAGTTAAACGTAAAATTAAATTAAACCCGAATAATAAAATTGCAAAATATTTTTTTATTTCAAAGTTTATTTAAAAGTAAGAATTTTCTTTCAATTTATTTTTTCCGATTACAATAAAATTTTAAATTCTTGGGTATTTTATGATGAAATCTTTGAATTTTCCAGACTTTTAATGTGATTTTCAAGTATGAAACATATTCTTTTCAAAGACAAATGTAATTGAGAACAGTATGCTATCTCAGCTGCAATCAAAAATCAAAACGAAGAGGGCTAAGCTAGGCTACAATTAGCAATTAGCATACATCGCATACATTTCAATGAAAATGGAAATGCTCTGCGGAAACGGAAGCAGGCGTTCCCCCATTTTGGGCCACCGGTTATTAAATGGCCGCATTTCACGCCCACTTTTACCGCTATTGTGGCGGAATGTGGTTGTTCATTTATGTTTTTTTTTCGTAAACTGCAAACTGCTAGGTAAACTATTAATGCTTTTGTTGCATTTTTTACAGTAAAGCAATATTTTACGAAGTGCTTTGAACATTAGGAATTTAAAAATGGTTTTTTTTACCCGCAACAACCAGAAACAAAATGCTATTTTAATGATGCGTAAAATGCTATTAGTAAGGTTATTAAAAATAAGTATTTTAAGCGAGTGGGGAAGACCAAAATATTATGAATTTATTTAAGCCAATAAAAAAAAATGAATACCTAATTAAAAAAAGATAACTTTAGTTTTCCTTTTTTACCAATTTTTGTTTACATATTGAATATAAAAGGTTTATCAATTTATTCTTAGCCATTTTCGTCACTCAAGCGAAAAAAGTTTCCCAGGGGAACCTATTTATTTGTCTCCAACTGGACAAATATTTAAATTTATTTTCTGCCATCTGAAGCTCCGTGTCAGTTTGCTTTGGGAAATCTCTTGGCCAAACAATTGATGATGCGGGGAAAGTGGGAGAAATACTCAGAGAATTTCAAGCAAAAGGATTGTAGATAAGGTTAAAGAAGAGTCAACAAAAACAGCTCGAGATATGTCGTCTCATTCCAAGTTGGACCGACCGACCTACACTGACAAAAAATAAAGGGAATAGTAAAAATACATAAGTACACAAATACATGACTATTGAATTTAAAATTTTATATTAACTATAATTATTAAATAATAAATCATAATATTAAATGCATTGCATATTAAATTGTATGATTAAATATTTAAATATTTTAATTAATGTGAACAATATTTTATTTAAAATAGTTCATATTTAATATATATAAAAATCAATTCCGAAAATTGTCTTATTAAAACTTGAAAATAATAGTGAAAAATATTTTAATAGAGTAAAATTTATTTGTAATTACTGCGTTTTTTTACAAGTGCACTTTTCCCCCTTTTCCTGTTGATGATGCTTTTCAGATAAGCTTTTGGCATACATATTGGACCATAAAGAACTACACCCACATACTGAAAAACTTTGAAGTGCTGCCTGCATTGAAGCGTTGAAATTAGGCTACCTGAGAATAGGAGAAAAAATAAGAGGGGCCACAACTGTGAAGTAAACCTACTGCAAATGGGCTAACAACTATTTGGCTTCGTGATCTTCTTACCATAACTGGGCTTCCCACTGGCACAAGCAGAAACTGCTCCAATTGTGGTCAATTGTTGGTCAACAGCAGCAGCTAAGTTACATAATAAAAGTGAGCATCTTTAAGTTTACTTCTGGTTTTTATGTATCTCGTGGAAGTGTGTCACATTGAGGGAGTTACTTTTGCCAACAACAGACGACCCACAAAGAATAACAGCGAGGAAAATCTTTGACTCATTTCGAATGGCGCCAACAAAAGAAAATCGTTGGGAAGCAGGGGGGAAAATGCGGAAAATGCCCGGGAAATTGGGTGACAAATTTTTGGGTAAACATATTTATTTACAAAGCAATTGTACCAGTCATTTTTAATTTGTTGAATGCTCTTCTTATACAAAGAAAGTATTTAAAAAATTTGATTGTCAGCTACTTATATTTATATGTTTTTTTAAGTTTAATTGTTGCTTCTTAGCCATAAATCCGTAAAATCCAAATATATCCATAAAACTTTAAATGGTTTAATTCACATCCAAAGCAAACAAATAAATTTATTCAAGTGATTTTCATTTAGTTTTTTGTTTGTTTTCGACTCAATTATTCAAATGGGTGAGAAAAAATAGCCACAAGCATCTTCCCACACAGCAGTTAATTAGTTTCAAAATAATATCATTCCCATCCAAAGGCCCATAAAACCAGTATACCCACAGTCTGCGCAAACAAATTACACGTCATCAGAATCTCAGCACGAGACCAGAAAATGTTAACGCGAAATGGCAATTTCGAATGCGTCTTCCCCAATTTCCGCGGCTGTTTCCCATTTTTTTAATGGCCCGAAGGGAAAACCAAAAGCAAAATCAAACAAATAAAACATACTATATGCACAGGCAAAAAATAAAGCGTTGTCGTCGTCATTATAATAATTTTATTTCAACGTTTTTCTGTGGCATAAAACCGGTTTTTTGGAAGCTTCAAAAGTCGAAGTTTGAATGAAATGCAGCTTCCAAGATTTTGGCTTCTAAAAAAGCGTCAACAAATACAACAACATCAAGCGAGTGAAGGGCGCGGCAAACCAACTACAATAACAACAAAGAAAAAAAAAACATGTAACAAAAAAAAATCGAGAATAGTAATGCTATGCGAACGCGTGGAAAACGGGTTTTCGCGAAAGTTGTTGTCATTGTTCGTTTCGTTGTTGCTATTATTGTTTTTTGCTGCTATTCTCGCTTTTGCGCCACAGTAAAAATATCTTAAATTAGCTTTTATGTAATACATTTTTTAAACAAAGTCCGTCTTTTTTAAATTTGTATTTTTTAATACATTTTTGGTTTGGGTTTTATATGAATTAACTAAAATACCCAGATATATGTTTGTTGTATAATTTGAATTAATTATTTTATTAAACAATACATTTCTTTCATCAATCATTCCATTTCCAATTTATATAACTTCCTTTCGGTTAATACCAATTAAACATTTTTACTTCCATATTAAAGCTTTTTTATATGAAAACGAACTAAACAATAAAGATAATTTTTTTTAATATTTTTCCGTTTATACATTTTTTATTTTATAGTTATTTCATTTAAAGAATTAAATATTTTAAAATATTTTCTTTTTAATGTTTTAATACATTTTTATTTTAGTTGAACAAAAACGTTACTCAAAGAGGTTCTACTGTATTTGGTTTCCAATTTTTCGGGGCGCCCGCCAGATTCGCTTGAGGCCAAAACCGAGACGAAGAGAAAACCAAAGAAATATGGCTGACTCTTGCTGGAAAAATGTTTTCTTCTCATTGTTGTAGGTATGTTTACAAGCTGTGAGGAACCTAAAAGGGGGTACTAAGCGAAAAAAAAAACATGGTACTTGGAAAAAACATGCCATAAACTGGCAGCCGGATGAGGAGTAAAAGTATGAAAACATCCATTTGATAAATTATTACTAGCAAGAATTATGAATGTCCAAAACGGATTTATGAAAAAGAGTTCAAAAGATATGGATTTCCGCTTGAATTTGCATTTACAAGCGGGGAAAAATATTTTGGTTTTTTACATTTTTAGGCCAAAAGTGTGGAAACAACTTACTTTTGGTTTTATTTGAACGAACATATGTCTATTTTAAAAATGTTATTTATTAAACTTCTTAAGGACTTTATTTATAATTTCATTGCATTTCAGGTATGTTTATCAATTTAAATTCCATGAATTCATTTATACAAACACTCAGCTGACTTTGCCAACAAAAGACTCGTTTTATTTTCAAGATTTTTCCTATCTATAAGATTTCTAAGGCAGTTATACAAATACAGTTCTATGAAAAATGCCAATTGGCGTGTTCCACTTTAAAGCGCACTACTCGCTTATAAATAAACAAAATTCGTCGCTGATAACTACACCGCAAACACGAAGAATAACTATAACAACAAAACCGGACAGCTAACAATAACATGGGCGAATTTATTTGCGCAACGTGATGTGCTCAACAATTTGTTAAAATAACACAAAAAAAAAGAGCTGAGAAAAAAACTTAAAACCAGGGGATTTGCACCTAACAAAGTCAAAGCATATAAATTATTTCTACGGCTTATCGCATGCAACAAAATGTGTTTTTTGTTTTGGCGAATAAATTAAGCAAAAGCAAAAGTAAAGTGATAAAAAAAAGAAGACAGAGGTTGACACAACACGTCAAAGATGAAATCCCACAAAAACAAACCAAAAGTTAATTACAACGAAAAAAAATGCGATGTACTGGAGATGGAAGCATGAGAAAATTTTATATTCATCGCTTACACATTCCTGAATTTAAATTTTAGGCCAAAAACTACGCCTTAAACCTTAGCTTTCATGAAATTATATATATTAAGTGCAACTATAAATTGTTCACATTTATTTTAAGATTAATTTTTTGAATGCCAGTTATTGTTATATTTAATTTAAAAAAAAAATATCGTTAAGACTTAAATCAAAGCCCCTGCACATCTCTAGGCTTAAGCTTAATCCGCCGACAGTGAGAAAAAGCATAGTCAAATGTCAGATGGGTTGAAGCCTTTGGCGAAAAGCGAAACACTTGCGAAAGAAAAGAAAAAGTGTAACAAATTGTTTGAAAAATAAATTGAAATTTTCTCTAATCTGCACTGCATGCTAATTTTTATGAAATAGATTTTTTGTGTGGCATTTTTGTTATGAAGGTTATTCCGCGCGCTAATTGAAGCCAGGCAAAAAGGCAATTACAAATGAATTGAACGCAAAAATTGTGGGCCAGGTCCAATGTCGATTTGATGGCAATATGGAGCTTGAAATTAAATGTAATCGTGTGCAATCGAAAATGGCAAGTGAAAGGGGTTGAAAAAGAGGGGATAGGTCACACCTCGAGGCACGTAGTTGGTTGAGCAAGGTATCGAAAAAGCATCGCA